TGTTGTGATAAAATTATAAATAAATTGCTTTATCTACTATAGGCCTTTAAAACAAACACAGCTACATGCATACGTATATATATATATATATATATACGGGTGTCTAGCTACATATGTATGCATATTAATGGATATACAGACAGATCAGACTGACAACCCGGCAGTCAGTTGAATTCATCGTCGCCTCACGCAGGTTATTCGTATTTGTATTTGCATTTATATATGTGTACATATGTATGTGTGTGTCTGTGTACGTTTATGTGTGCGCGCGTTGCTCAGCTGCCCTGGTCGCCCCTCTCCGCTGGCTAGCTGCTAGCTCTTCGTGAGGTTTGTCATGTTTGTTTGTTTGTAAAAATATGTAATGTCGTGTTAGTTTATCCAATGGCGTGCCGTCGTGTCTATTTTTAGTGTACAAGCTTTATTTTTAGACCGGCGGCAGCAACAACTTTAACTTTAACTGCACAAAAGTACAAACAGAGAAAAACCACACAATGTGGCGACCGCCTTATTGCATTTGCAACTTGTTGCGCCGCGAGAGCGCCAAACTAAGAGCACAACATAGAGCGTGCTTGTGTGAGTGCGAGAGTGAAAGAACGAGTGGGAGGGGCGGGCTGCAGTGCGAGAGTAGCCGCTGCACGTTGCGGCTACGTGATGTTTTTGTTGGCTTGGTTACACAACTTCCAGTTGCTTGCTCTCAATGTCTGCTCTGCTCTGTCTGTCTGCCTCTGTTGGTGCTCGCTTTGCTCTCTGTGTGCATTTGCATTTGCATTTGTATTTGTGTTTGCATTTGTATTTGTTTTTGTATTTGATTTCGTTAAACGTTTTATCACGTCGCTGTCGCTGTCGCTGTTGCTGTCGTCGTCGTTACGTTTAAAGTTTACTTTTAGTTGCTTCGTTTCTTATTATTCTTGTTTTGCTCGATTTGTTTTTCTCATATTTTCTTTGAAATGTGAATTCTATTTATAAACCATTGGTCTTTTATTCGCCTCTCAGTTGGCGCACATTCCGCTCTCTGTTTACATTAAAAATATTTAAATTGTTGTCACGTACCAAGTTCTTAATAGGTTACGTTATGTGTTTATTTAACTCATTTTGATTAGCAGCCGAGAAAAGCACAATAAAAGACACGCTTAGTAAATGTGGTTGTTGTTGTTGTCGTTTTGGTTGCTCGGCAGCAGCAGCAAAGCTCCGTTACAAAATTCATTGGAACTCATTTACAAATTAAGATTTTCAACCCTTTCCCAAAGGAGACTAAAAGTTTGGCAAAACTTCCAAATATGTATATAGAAGCGTAAACTCATTTAAAATATTAAAATTTAAATTAATATAGACACTTCCGGCTCTCTGAAACTATAGAAACCAATTCTCACTCGCTCTTTTCCGGCTCTCCTTGCTAATCTTAAACGTTTTATCTGCCCTGCTCTTTTTCCTCATCCGCTCTCAACCCGCATTCCATTAAAACAAATATTTGTTAGAATTGTTTGATCTCATGAAAATCGCATAGAAACGCGATATTTTCGCAAATTAAGAAATTCAAGGTCTGAATTCTGAAACTCGTTGAACACAGTTTTTGTTGTTTTTTTGTCGGCAAGTTTTGGTCAACATTTTCTTATATGTCAAAAAAAGTTGTAGTTAGGTTAGTATTTAAAATTTATTAATTTAAGCTTAGAATTTGGTTGTTTTTTTAATTTAAATTTTTTTCGAACCTATGACCTTCAACTTCAACTCTTATACCCAAGAATTTCAGCAAACTTGGTAAACTCTATCCTTAATGCATGTGTCTCGCTTGATTTTTTAGATTATATCATATATATTATACATATATATAGATATAAATATTTATGATATATTTGATCTGTTGGTGGCTTAATGGTTAATGGGACTTTGTTGGCTTTTTAATCTCATTCGCAATTTTCTTGATGGCAGGTGGTATGCGCTTTGCCACGCCCGGTTGTGAGCTCAGGAACGAGATCTCAAAGAGGGCGGGTCGGCTAGAGTAGACATTGTGGAGCATACTGATGAACCAGAATAGCAAATCGTCCATATTTTGTATCGTGCACTGGGCGAACACAGCGCCCGCATCCCGACCGTGCTGATGGGAGTCAAACAGAGCGACAATCGAGGCGCGAAAATCAAAGGTCATCATCACTGTCCGACTGTCCGCTATGATGGCGGCAAACAGATGCGATGGCATCTCCCGGCCGCCCGCTTGCTGGAACACCTGCAGTGTGATCTGAAAGATGCGAGATAGCTGCATGGCAACGTTGCGATTGTACATGGGATTGCTGGGATCGGCCTCCATGTGCGTGTAGAACCACTCCTCCAGCCGAAAGTTCATCTTGTGCTGTGAACGAATCGCCGATATTGCATCTGGTATATTAAGATTCAGATTGCGTGATAGCGGCGTATGAGCTGTTATAACATTGTGGTAGACATTATTGCCATCGTTCATCGCATTTCCAAATAGCTCCCAGCCGCGGGACGGCAGCTCGCCCACACGATGATAGAACCTCTCCGCCTTAGCCACCTTATCGGCTAGGATCAGTGATATCAGAGTGCACGAATTAGTGCCACTCTGCTGAAACTCTCCGAAACGTGACTGGCAAAAGTCGCGCGGGAACCACCAGATGTTCAGGTTGTCGATCTGCTCATGTATGGCCATCATGGAGTGGGTTCGAGTGCGCTCGAAAGGATTGCTAAAGTCTGATGGACACAAATAATGCCATCATTGGGCAAGGGTGAGCGTAGATTGGTAGACATTATTGGGTGCGATTGGTTGGGGTGTGGTAATTGAATTTTTACCGTGCGCTGGGCCTAGTCTTTCGTACTGCTGCTGTCACATAATTCATATAAGTCACCTTCTTAACACTGCACTGCAAGAGCGAGCTTCCTAGTTTGTCCTTTTGCTTAGCTAAACATTGAATTTTGGGTGTCTTTTGCCGGAGGAGTGTTGAAACGAAAACGAAAAATTTTGATAAGAAAACAACAAAATAAAAGAATTTCTAACAAACAACAAACATGATGTGTGCGACTGGACAGTAAACTGAATGAGAAACTGAGTCCAAAAATTAGAACTAACTCCTTGTATTGTAAAAAAAAAAATTTTTTTTTGATTTTGTTCAATTTAGTTTTGAATTTGGAACTGATGAGATGTTTTTCCTAGAGCTCCCCTCTCTGATTACCCCCATAAAAGTGAGCAAAGGCTTGGCTTTCGGATAACGCTTGCAGAAAATTACCCAATAAATATACATATATATGTGTGTGTGTATAAAGCCTGGTACAGGTCTGATCTGCTTAGTTTAACGTTTAAAAAACTACATTTCCTAGAACTCCATTGCATTTGCAGAGGCATGTCACATGTCATATCACATTCCTCCTTGGCTCGTGCCACATTGCGTATACGTATTTTTTGTTTCGAAAATTCGAATTTGTATTGTTAATCGTTTGATAGGGAAAATCCTTTAAAGCCCATTTAGTTAAGCGATGGGTCGACTGAAATGAACAAAGGGAGAAGGAAATTATCTGATTTACTGATGGCACTTAAATGTTAAAACTAGGGGTAAATATTCTGCTTATCTATTCTTCGCTCACCCTTCACTATGTTTTTTATAGGCTAACCCCTTAACTCTTTCTATATACATATATATATTTTAAACTCTATTCATACAATTTTTAAATATTTTTTTAATATAGATTTTTAACTATAATCTATTTTTTAACGGTTTTAATTTAATTTTAATTTACGAAAACTCGTAATCGAATTGAGCCCACTAAAATTTCTCCGTTTGCTTTAATTCTTGAATCCGTAAAAAATTTTGAATTACGCTTGAATTTAACCCGATTAACACAAGTGAAAGGGGAGCAACTGGTTGAAGGATAATGCCACAAACAGAATTATATAATGAGGGAATCCACGCATGCATAATTAATGCAACAGCCAGCAAGTGCGCCAGATTGCGGCGCGTGCCTCGTGTGGATGTATCGTCAGAGGGGAGGGGTGTAGGGTTAAATATCCCGCCGGAGAAGCACACAAATAGCCATATATATTGAACAATACAAAATAGCCGCAAGCATATGCAGCTGGGAAAATCTTTTTGTCCGACAAGTGCCTGCGAAAATGGAAAAAGGAAAAACGGGACAGATGCGGGCAACAGGATATGAAAGGAATTTAACTAGAAATTCCATGTCTCAGTGTTTGTGTGTAATACACACTGTGTATAACTTTTGACTTTTTTCAGTCAACTAGCCGGACAAACTATCCAGGGTTGCACTATATATGTTACGTACCGCCAGCCCTCCCATAGAATTTCATTACATTCCTTTTATAATTGTGTGTGTGTGTGTGTGTGTGTGTGTGTGTGTGTGTGAGAGTGTGCTTGACTTTGTCAAACATGTATTTTGATGATACCCTGGAATAAAGCATAAAAGTATAATAAATACACTTTCTTTAACACTAAGTTGATTAGTTAAAGTCTTCCCTTGCATAATTCAGAAATACTTTTCCTATTATGAGTCTAGAATATATATATAGCTATAATCAATCAACCCGATTTTTCTAAAATAATACCCTACACTCTATGGTCTTTCGCTAAGACACTATTAGTGCTCAGTGAAAACTCCCTAATATTCAAATGTCCAGCTGACTGTCCGAGAGAATATAGTAATATGGGAGTTTAAGATTTCAAACTTGGCTTGAGAAAGTGCTAACATCGGTTGGTCACGCCCACTAGGGAGCTAGGCAAATATCGACCTACTTATGGACTTCCTTAAATACAGGTATTTTTTTCTTTTCAATTCTTGTTTTAAGTTTATTTTAATCAATTTGTCGGGTCAGTCTATTTAAGCTGTCATTAAGCTGTGCACGAGTATTACGCAGTCGGCTATACCCGACTAGATGAGTCCAGCATGTTATGGCTACATTTTTGTATCACAATCAATTGAAATTTCAACCACCGCCCACTGACTAACTGATTTGATCCTTTTTGATTGTATCCTTGCAGCGTGTAAATCTGTTAGCACCCATAGGCGTCGCGCTGAACGGCCCCGGCCTAAGGGGCCATGACGCGTTGGCCCTTCAATTTACTACTATTGCTCTCGGTGGCAGTACGCGACTGTAGCAATCATACCATCCTCACAGTCGGCTATCTGACGGCCCTCACTGGCGAGCTCAAGGACCGCCAGGGTTTGGCCATATCCGGTGCGCTGACAATGGCACTGGATGAGGTAAGCTATCCTAAGTAGCTGTAATCATAATGTTCGGATGGAATAGAAATAACAAGTACATAGCTGCACAGCCAAGCACCAGGGACAACAAGGCTAAGTTCAGCAAGCTTGCATCTTGATAATGTCAAGTCAATGTCAAATGGCAAGCTAATATCTTGAGTGTCCATCTGTGTACTTGACTTTTCTTTCAACATAGTGATTACTAATAAATAAAGATTAAGTTTCTATTTTAAATTTAAAAGAAAGTCTTGGTAAATATTAAGATAGTTTAAAACAAATCTAATAATATAATATTACAACATTCATACCCTATATTTTAATCAACAACTGCCTGTATGCACGTATATTTTCTGCGCTTTATATAAAAAAAAAAAACAAATTTTTAATTACCGCCCCACTCTGCGATTCTCATGAATTCAAGAAAGCCTTGCAGAGTCTTATGCTTATTCTAATAATTTAATTAGAAAGTGGTGTATGTTTATGTTTATGTATGTATGTATATGTATTTGTGTATATATTATATTGCGTGTATTCAGTTCAAACGTTCTCTTCCCGCTGCGCAGCAAATTTAAAAGAAAACATATTTTTAATTACCGCCCCACTCTGCGATTCTCATGAATTCAAGTAAGCCCTTCAAGTTTTCGTGCTTTGAGTAGAACTGTTTTGTTTAAAAAAGTAGTTTTGGTTATCTAATATAATTTAATTTTGTATGTATGTTAATGTGTAGTTGTATGTATGTATATATGTATGTATGTGCGTATGCATGTGTGTATGTATGTATGTACATATGTATGTATGTATATATGTACATATGTATATATGTATTTATGTATATACATATGTATATGTGTGTATGTATGTTTGTATGTATGTATGTATGCTTATGTTGATAGATTCGAATGTATGATGGAACGTTCTCTTCCCACTGCACAGAGTTTAAAAAAACGTATTTTTTACTAAAGCCCTACTCTGCGATTCTCAAGAATTCATGTAAGCCCTTCACATTTTCATGCTTTGAGTATAAGTGTTTTGTTTTAAAAGGTGGTTTTGGTTATCTAATATAATTAAGTTTTGTGTGTATGTAAATGTGTAGTTGCATGTATGTATACATGTAAGTATGTATGTATATATGTATGTATGTATTCAAGTACGTATATATGTAAGTGTGTATTTTTGCATATATGTATGCGTGCATGTTTGTATATGCTTGTATAATATATGATAAGAAAAATAAGACCTTTTTCGGTTGACATTCTTAAACTAAATAGACTTGAGTATGTGCGGTTATCCATGAAATAAAAGCATCTTAGACATCTTAGCCAAAAATAATCAATTTTATAGTTGTTATTTATTATATAATTTTATATACATATTAAATGGGTCTACTTTGTATTGCTCACCAATTATTATTTTGTTAACAGATCAACAGAGATCCAAATCTGCTGCCGAATGTAACGTTAGCGCTGCGCTGGAATGATACCAAGGGTGATACGGTGCTGGCTACCAAGGCCATCACCGAGATGATATGCGATGGTATTGCGACCATATTTGGTCCGGAGGGACCCTGCTATGTGGAAGCTATTGTCTCGCAGAGTCGCAACATTCCAATGATATCCTATGTATGTTCATATATAGAGTATGCGAGTGCTAAACAACAGCATTTCTCACTTGCAATTCTCCACATGTTTGCTTGTATCAAATTAAATGCATTTCTTTACCTCTTTCTCTGTCTCTTGCTGTGTCTCATCCCGTCCGCCCCACGAACTTTCAAATAGAAATGTGCAGAGAACCGTGCATCCTCGATACCAACATTTGCACGAACCGAGCCGCCCGACACGCAGGTGAGTGGGAGTTGATGAAGGGCGGGCATGGGCAGTGGGTGAGGGGGTTAGAAGCAACAGATTGTTTGTCTGCCAGTTGATGCCTTGACGCTGACATTGAGCCGCACAGTATAATATGTGGCCTTGGCAGCTCGCAAATCATATATCACACATAACATACATATGTGCGTAGAAGGAAGTCCACACAATTCAGAGGAATTTTATAACATTGACGGTATTCCCCTTGCATATTTACAGGTCGTTAAGTCGGTGATTGCATTGTTGCGCTACTACGCCTGGAACAAGTTCTCCATACTCTACGAGGAGGTATGGGGCACGGTTGCCGATCTCTTAAAGGACCAGGCATCCAAGCGCAACATGACCATCAATCATAAGCAATCCTTTATCGACGATCGCGCCAAATGCTGTGAGCAGATGATGACCTGTTGCCGCTCCGGCTATTGGTATCAGGTGAGTGGTAATTATTTATATAAATATATTTGCGAATAGAAAGAATGGATCAAGACTGTTTTTGCCCTTTAAGATATTTAAGTAAATCATGATTTGTGGATCTAAAATAGAAGAAACTATAGATTTATATTGATAAAGTACATAAGTGATTGTTAGAGCTAAAAGGACAATATGGTTATTTCTCTTCTTCCGATTTTCGAGATGTATTCATTTGGAAAAATTATATATAAAAGAAAAAAATGAAAAAAAAAGATGGAAAATATATACAAAATTATTTATTTTAATTGAAATAGTATACTTTTTTATATATAATAATAATAATAAAATATATATGAATTTTTAATTTACGAATAGTTTGAAAAACAATTTTAAAGTTTATCTAAAATTAATATACATATATTATTAATATTTTAAATTTCAGTTTAATTCAACCAAATTAAATATAGTAAAAATATATTTGCTAGATTATATACCCAGTATACCAATCCAAAAAGTCACATTCTTGTTCCACAGGTTGTGCAAAACACGATGAATCGTACACGGATCTATGTGTTTCTCGGTTCGGCGAACAGTTTGATTGATTTCATGAGCTCCATGGAGACGGCTGGTCTATTTGCGCGTGGCGAGTATATGGTCATCTTCGTGGACATGATGGTCTATTCGGAACGGTAAGTTAACCAATAGAAGTTGTCTATATGCTTGTTGGGATCTGTCTCTCATTGAATACTCTAACGTTCACAGTGAGGCACAAAAGTATCTGCGCAAGGTGGATCAAATCAATCGGATGACCAACTGCAAGAGCACCGAGAACTTTAATCAATTGGCGCGCAGTTTACTCGTTGTGGCATCAACGCCGCCCACCAAGGGCTACGAGAAGTTCACGGAGCAGGTGCGCAACTACAGTTCGATGCCGCCCTTTAATTTTACAGTGCCACAGCTCTTCTCGCAAAGCAAATTTAGCAAGGTGAGCCACGAGAATATGATGCTCAGTAATGCCAACAAACTAATTGACATAAATGTTCCTCGATTGCAGTTCATATCGATCTATGCGGCCTATCTGTATGATTCCGTAAAGCTGTACGCCTGGGCGCTCGACAAAATGCTGCGCATGGAGGAGCGTGTGCTCACCGATGAGGTCATCTCTGAGGTGGCCAGCAATGGGACGCGTGTCATAGATACAATCATCAAAAACCGTACTTATATGAGTGAGTATTCAATTGGCTTTCAAGCAATAAGCCATTGTATCTATAGTACAATTAAATTTATTTTGGTATTGCCAAAATAGGTGTCACCGGTTCCACAATCAAAATCGATCAGTATGGCGATTCGGAGGGCAACTTCTCGGTGCTGGCGTACAAGCCGCACAAATGGAACATATCTGAGAATATCCGTTGCAATTATCATATGGTGCCCGTGGCGTATTTCCATCAAGGCGAAGAACTTCCAGTGAGTGAGTCGTCTTCTCTTTTTTAGTTTGCATTACTTTGAGTTTGCTCAAGACCCAACAGACAAACTGAGAATCTCAACATTTGAATTGCTCAATCGTTGATTGCAGGAATATAAACTGATTAACGGCTCGATCGATTGGCCCTCCGGCGGCGAGAAGCCCACCGATGAGCCTATGTGCGGATTTGCCAATGAGCTGTGCAAAAAGGATGATACCCATTACACATCCACTGTGGCTGCGGTCGTCCTGGGCGTTTTACTATTCTGCTCCGGTGTGGTCACCATGAGCATCTATCGCAAATGGAAGATCGAGCTGGAAATCGAGGGTCTGCTGTGGAAGATTGACATATGCGAAATCAAGGACTATTCCGGCAATGAAATTGTCTCATCGCCCAGCAAAGTAAGCGAAATAAACACCGACTGATCCAATAGACTTTACCAACTGCTGATTGCCTACTCTTTTGCCAGGTCAGCCTGATGAGCGCCCAAAGTTTTGGCTCCCGTTGGTCCCATCAGTTCGTTACCTCGACGGCGCGTCTGCGCGGCGCCGTTGTGCGCATCAAGGAGTTAAAGTTTCCACGCAAGCGCGACATCTCGCGCGAGATCATGAAGGAGATGCGTCTGCTGCGCGAGCTGCGTCACGACAACATCAATAGCTTCATTGGCGCCTGTGTGGAGCCAACACGCATACTGCTAGTCACGGATTACTGCGCCAAGGGCAGCCTGTACGATATCATTGAGAACGAGGACATTAAATTGGATGATTTGTTTATAGCCTCACTCATAAATGACCTCATCAAGGTGCGTATTCTGGAATTTATAATTACATTGAACAGATTATTTACCTTCGCTATTTTGTTTTATTTGCAGGGCATGGTGTACATACACAGTTCACAGCTGATCTACCATGGCAATCTCAAATCCTCGAATTGTGTGGTCACCTCGCGCTGGATGCTGCAAGTCACAGACTTTGGACTGCACGAGCTGCGTCAGTGCGCCGAAAGCGAGTCCATTGGCGAGCATCAGCATTATAGAAGTTAGTGTCAACTCTTGATTCGCTTCCTAAAATGTAGAGTTCTATTGAAACTTTTTTTTTCGTTTGAACCCCTGATTCACATTCTAAAATAGAGCTGAAATCCGAAAGGATTGCAAAGAATAAGATCCACAAATTATTAAATGATATGATATGTTTTTTAATATATTTAAATATCATTTGATATATTACAATATGATACAATATTTTATTATGCTTCAATACTTATAATAATACATTTTTTTTTATTTTCAAATATTTTTGGAAAATCTTATTCTTTATATTTATATTATTTTTTCTTACTTTTTATTCTGTTTAAAACTTTGCAATTTAATTTTTTTTAAATTTCCCTTCACTTAAACAATTTGAAATAATATTAGACGAATTATTGCTACTTTATTTGCTTTTTTAAATTACATTAAAATTGTTGTTATATTTATTGATTTTTTATACTAATTTTGTACCAACTTCTATTTGAATTCCAGATCAACTTTGGCGCGCCCCGGAGCTGTTGCGCAATCACCATATGCACGGCAGTCAGAAGGGGGATATCTATGCGTTTGCCATCATAATGTACGAAATATTTAGTCGTAAGGGTCCGTTTGGACAAACCAACTTTGAACCAAAGCAAATTGTGGACTTAGTCAAGCAGCTGCCGCTTAAAGGGACAGAGCCATTTCGGCCGGAGGTCGAGTCTATTATAGAGGCTGAGTCCTGTCCGGATTATGTGCTGGCCTGCATTAAGGACTGCTGGGCTGAGAATCCCGAAGATCGACCCGAGTTCAGTGCCATACGGTGAGTGAAAACCGGACAATTCCTAAGAGAGACAAAGTACTTATACTTTATTTGCATTTATTTTTTATGCACAGCAATCGGTTGAAGAAGATGAGAGGTGGTAAAACCAAAAACATCATGGATCAGATGATGGAAATGATGGAGAAGTATGCCAACAACTTGGAGGACATTGTCACAGAACGCACGCGTTTGCTGTGCGAGGAGAAAATGAAAACGGAGGATTTGCTACATCGCATGCTGCCCCAATCGGTGGCAGAGAAACTAACCATGGGCCAGGGCGTTGAACCCGTTTCCTATGATTTGGTAGGCCTTAACTCAAATAAATATAAGTTTGATAGAGACTTTGCTTAGATATTGTAATCCCAACCTGCCGACTCCAGCATGACGTAATGTTTGGATGGCGTAGGATAAACTTTTTTTACCTTTACTGTGTTTCTTATATATTGGCAAAGTCTTTTTGTGTATAACAGCAAATTTGTATACAGCAAATTAATTCTTCTCCATGTCCATCTATCTTTCAGGTCACGATCTACTTTAGCGACATTGTGGGCTTCACAGCACTCTCCGCAGAGAGCACACCGTTGCAGGTGGTAAACTTTTTGAATGATCTCTACACGGTGTTTGATCGCATCATACGTGGCTATGATGTGTACAAGGTGGAGACCATAGGCGATGCCTACATGGTGGTAAGTGTATCGATCAATCTCCATAGCGATTGTAGCATATGATCTCATATTCGTCCTTTCTCTCTGCAGGTCTCTGGTCTGCCCATTAAGAACGGCGATCGGCATGCGGGTGAAATAGCGTCCATGGCGCTCGATTTGCTGCATGCGGTCAAACAGCATCGTATTGCCCATAGACCCAACGAGACGCTGAAGCTGCGGATCGGTATGCACACGGGTCCGGTTGTTGCGGGCGTCGTGGGTCTCACGATGCCACGGTATTGCCTCTTTGGGGATACGGTAAACACCGCCTCGCGCATGGAGAGCAACGGCGAGGCGCTTAAGATACACATATCCAACAAGTGCAAACTGGCGCTAGATAAACTGGGCGGCGGCTATATCACCGAGAAGCGCGGCCTGGTCAGCATGAAGGGCAAGGGCGAGGTGGTCACCTGGTGGCTAACGGGCGCCAATGAAAAGGCCATACAAAAGAAGCTCGTGGATATGACGGATATGCCGCCGCCGCTGTTCAGTCGGCCGCGCAAGAGTCCCAAACTGAATCCGGACTCGAGGCAGCCCAGTTTGCTGGCCATGCACAATTGCGGCACCGGATCACGGCGCCAGAGCAGCGTGCCACGTCCGGCCGATGGGGAGTCAACGTACAGCCTGCAGGGCTCCGCTTATCAGGTGGCGCGTGAATCGCCGCGACTGGCAGCGAGAAGAGAGCGGGAACGAGAGCGGGAACGGGAGCGAGATCGTGAGCGACCCGCGCTGAATGGCCTGGGCGGCCATTTTGTTGGCGGCGCACTGCTGGAGTCCGCGCACGCCTCGCTCAGCACGCTGAATCATTCCGATACAAATGAAACGAACTGTGATACTAACGAAGCCACCATTCTCGATGGCGAACTGGAGTTGAACGGCGGCATCTGCGGCGGCGCAGCTGCCACTGCTGCTGCTACTGCTGCTGGCCTGGTGCGCCAGCCAAATGCGCTGCACAAGCCGCTGGCCATGGTGCGGCCACATCGCATCATTAGTGCGGCCCAGCTGCTGCCCCTGGATCAGGCAATCCCGGCATCTGCGGTGGCGGAGCTGCTGCTGCGCGAGTCACGCTCGCTGGATCCGATGCCGCTGCAGCAGATACGTAAGCGGCACGAACGCGGCAAGCTGCCACCCTCGAAGCTTTCCAAGAACAATTCACGCTCCCTGGACACGGGCGTCTCGCTGATTAGCGGCAATCCCAACGGCGAAACGGCCGCCGAGGAGGATGAGACGGATGATCTGTCGGCCAATCCGGTGGATGCCAATGACGGCTACGACGATGAGCTGGGCCTGCTTATGCGTCATGACAACGGCCAGCTGCCCATGCTGCGCTACTCGAGCAGCTTTGCCAATGCCCAGCCGAGCATTGTGCCCGCCGGCGCCAGCAGCAGGCGGCGCAGCAGCAACGTCTCCTCGAGCAGCTGTACCAAGCACTTGAACAACAATTGCAACGGCGGCATGAACATCGAGGAGGACATGCACTCGCCGCTGCTGCAGCGCCAGGCCTCGCTTACAGCGCCGCCCGAGGAGCTGATGGCACACTCGAAGCGCTGGCACTCACTCGAGCACATGGAGCCGGGCGTCACCGGGCATGGCAACAGCGTCAGCTATGCCGCCGACATTGAACGCCGACACGATCAAGCGCATGATGACGGTGGCGGGAGCGGAGGCGTTGGCGTTGGCGGCGGCTTGGATATGCATTCAGCTGGCAATCAGCGTGGCACACGCGGCGGCAGCAGCAGCAAGGTTGGCAACTGGGTGGTCAACTTCTTCAAGGGCAACGGCATGCGCAGCGTCGGCGCCAGCGGCGATTCCACGCTGCGGCGCGTGGGCATCCTGCCCAGCAGTGTGCAGGGCGTGCGCAGCGGCTTCACCGACATGACCGCAGCAGCCACGGCACGGGATCGTGAGAGTATTGTATAGTTTGGAACGGATGGAACGTCTAAATGGGGGGGAATGTTACTCAGGAACAGTGCGAGCAGGAAACGAATGTCTAAGGTATAAATTACATACATACATACACATCATTTATAGAGATCTGTTTTGGCTTATATGTATATTTGTTGTATGTTGATTGTCGTTTGTGTCTAAAGCTCTATATGCCTATAGATGTACGTATACACGCAGATACATATATATATATATACATATACACGTATGTACGTATGTATGCATGTGTATCGGAAACAATTACTAAATGCATATACATACATATTAGAGTAGCCATTAAATAACAAATATAAAAAGAACCGTCTAGTCACAAGGTCTTCAGACTAGTTATTGATTTATAATAATAATAATAATAATAATAATAAATAATATAACACTATATGCATACCTATTGAAGCATAAAGCGCGCGCACACACACACACACACACACACACATACCAGAAAAATCAAATTTTAATTCTCCAACTTGCGCAGCTAAACAAAAAATTACCAACAATTTAAGCAAGTAATAAAAAACAATTAATAACGTAAAAAAAAATATATATATATCTAAATATATAAACGAAATCAAAATGTGTTTTTGCTAGTATGTAAATTAAGTGCGTGTGATTGTACGTAATTCTTAAGCCTAAACTATATACAATATTTAAATGCATATATCTAATATATATGTATATATGTGTGTGTATACAATTCATATATTGTTATATATATATATATACACTTATATGTGTCTATGTATGTGCATAATTTTATTAGCTATTTTAATTGATAATAAAAGAAATTGTGAGCAGAATTGCAGAACGCAGTGAGCTGTTTTTTAGCCGTATCTATGTATATTTTTAAAAATATATAAAATTTGTTAAATTTGCCATATATAAATATAAACAAAACAAAAAAGCAACAAACAAACAAGAAAATCACAGCAATCATTTAATATGGAATCGCAAACAATGTTTGACAAGCAGCTGTATCCTAAATGCATCCGATTATCTAGATAAATGCAATCGCTGCTCCTTCCTATTATATATCCTGAAAGGCTCGAAGATTTTGGCTGTTTCCACGCAATAAATGGGCCACTTGTTAGTTTTCATCAAATATTCCACTTTAATTGATTTTCGCCAAAGAGAATTCTTTTCGTAAAAAAGTTCGTACTAAACACGAAATCAATAAATATATAGGTTAAATTTTACAAAAATCATTATTCCGTATTATTAAAGACTACAAGCTTACTTTGTACAACATATAATTTAAGCATTGTTGGAAAAACGTCAATAAGTTAGCATCTTCTGTGGTAAATAATCTAAATTCCAAATTGCGATGCCCCCAATCCGTAAACTAGTTTCGGAAAGTTCCAAATCAAAGTGTGAGCTCGGTATAGTGTCCAGGCTATTGACCAAAATCGGGAAAACTGATAGCAAATCACTCGCTTGGCCAATAGCCGGGTCAAATAGATCCAATGCACGACTCGTATATAAACCGCCATCAAACCAGTTTCTTAAAGTACCCTTGGCGGAGTCTTCGATATCTGTAAAAAAGTTGCCCAAGCAAAAGAAGAACTCTGAGATACAACAAAACAAAGGCGAATTTTTTCATATACTAATGAACAATAAAAACCTGGGTCAAGCGATTGATACAAGAAAACCGAAAGGAACTGTAACTATAAATGATATCGATAATGTGTATTTTAAATATACAGTGCCCCGAGTGCCCGATTCAAATCCCGTCAAACAATCCAGAAAAAGCTCAGTAATTGGACAGCACATTAACCCGCTTTTACAGAGTTCTAGACACAGGCCTTTCGACCCACCGAGGCATGTTGTGAAATTTAGGAAAACTCAACCAATGTTCACTTTCGGGCCCGACGATCCGGTTGATGAACTGTCAAGAACTCCTGCATTAAATATAATTGAAGTTTACAAGCTTCCATTGGCAAAAGTAGCAGAAAAAAAGAGCACGGTCCCAAAAATGCCCTTGGCCACCTCCATCGAGACAATGCTAAATGAAATAAGCGTTCCGAGGATTAAGGAGAAAGCAGATATAACGCCAGAATTGGAAAAGGGAAAGGCACGTCAGTCAAAAGGTAAGACCTTAAAGAAAAATCATCGAAATAAAGACAAAGAAAGTAAATATACCACTGGGAAGGTAAAGAAAAACCAGCGTCTAAACGAAGAAGAAAGAAATAAGGAAAATGCAATTAATAAAGGCCACATACCTCATTATCATCATCTAAAAAACGGAAATGAAGAAGAAAAGCCCTCAAATAATAGTATCGTGAAGCAAAAAAGTCGGATAAATAAGGAAAATACATTAAGTGCGATCAATGTGAAGAAGAAACATCGTCAACATAAAGACGCCGAAACAACAATAAAAACAGATGAAAGCCAGCGTCGTCCAACAACAATACAAATTGAAGACAGTATTAATGAAAAACGTTTCTCCAGTAATGAAACAGCTATATCATTTGGTGAAAAGCAAATCGAACCAAGGGAAAGCAATGGCACGAAAAGGTATACTAGGAAGAGCAGAAAGTCATTAGGCAAAGCTAACAAAAGGAGATATTTCCGACGTTCCAGACTACACGATGTAATCGATTACTTCAAACATCATTACAAGAAAAAAAGAAAAAAGAGTTTGATAAAAAGTACTTTGTATGAAACACCTCTCATTAAAGACTCAATTGTCGCTGTTCTTAATTCTCCGAAAAGACCAAGCTTGGCGGCACTAACTAAACCTAGGGTATACCAATTAATTTTAAAAAGAATAAACCGGGATCGAATGACACTGAAAAGCTTTCAAAATAATCTATCGATTCACAGATCGAAAATCAATTTCGTGGCACCTCCGACAAGGCAACAAACTACAATTGAGGAAACTCGAACAAAGCGGCGTCAGGCAAACGAAAGGGTGAAGTCAATCCACAAAGCGCACTCAATAAACGCTATCATTTCGAATGCTACAATTGATTACCGTTCCAGATATAATAAAATCAAGCAATATATCGAGAGCGAAATGGATCTGCCCAATTTAGAAAATATAAGCATTGATGATATCGATTTAAAGCAGTTCCTTTACTATCCGTACAATTTGCCAGGCCAAGTTCAAGAAACTCCAAAACCCATCAAACCGATACGTAAATCACAATCGCCAGTTAAATCGATTATTAGTAAAACCGAAGTGCCAAAACCGAAGCCGAAGTCTCCGATTAAATGCGAGTGTGGCATTTGTGTGGCCCTCTATCGAAATAGGCCGGTTGTGGACAATCCATTGATTGCTAAAATGAAGGAGGAGCTGAGGCGTCAAGAGCTGAAGGCGTACATCAAAAATAGGCAAGTCTTTAAAGCGGATCGCGATAGACCATACGATTCGCAATATAAATTCACAAGCGGTGGTCTCCTGCCCTATCGAAAGTCGCAGGAAAACTGCTTTTGTCAATTTCCCTCTTTGTTCTGTAGGAACCATGCTTAGCTGCACAGCTCGAGCAAGGTTTCTACAGACTTTAAAGGCTTTGTGTAGTTTATTCTATGAATAAACCGATTTTTATGCTAAAAATAACCGTTAACAATCATTTAAACCTTTTTCAGCACTGGCTGAAGCAACACTCGTTTTATACATTTTTGATTTATTATTTTCGTTTATTTTGTATATAAGCTACGAACTAAGTACAGCTAGTTTAAAATAGTTAGAGTAATGCAGAAAAAACCTAAATGGATATTGCATAAATAATTTTGACTAGATTTTGTTAGGTGAACGTGTTAAATGAGTAATCACAAAAAGGCCGCAATCAAAAGTTTCTAATTATAAATAAAAGACCAGAGAGGCCAAAGCTTTTACTTAAATTTAAATGACTAGGTATTCTATTTCACTTATATACATAATATATCATATATTATTTGTTAATTATCGTGAATTTAAACGATCTTTAAACCACTTGAGCTGTACTCGAATCTATAATTGAAGTCCTTTATTGGAATGCCTAGATCTACATTATAACGCTTGCCTCTAACCTATTGGTGGTCTTATACTCGTATTGCTGATATATGTATCTACCCGTAACAGATACTATCTTAAGTGAACTTGGATGTTCTTCTTCTGCTCGCCCGTTCTATGTACAACAGCTGGCGAGCGGCTCCTTACACGGCAGCCTCTTTCGATTTCGTCCTTCTTGTATTGTCCAGCAGGGTCTTGGTCGCAGCGTGTGCCACCTGCTGCTTGAGCGTGGCTGCCTCATAATCACTGCCGCTTTCGTCGGCGAACTGGATGTCGTCCAGGTGGAGGTATTCTTGCAGATCACGTGACGACTTCTCCACAAGGGTTTCCTTTTCCACGTACGAGCCGGTCATTGATTGGTTTGAATCCTGGTCGCCGTCCGTCTGCTTAAGACTCTGATGCACGGCCACAATTTCCGCCTCGTGCTTGGATGCTTGGCTAGGACGGAGTGTACCGGATTCGGACTCATAGCCGGAACTAACTGCATTCAGTCTGAACTGCTGCCTGGCCTGTCGGCGCTGTTTGCGGGACATATATGGAGTTGGCTGTTTGGTTGGAGTGCTTCTCTGGACTGTCTCGCTGGGCGAGGTGGCCTTGGACTGTTGCTGGCTGCTGGGCAAGGAGCGTTCCTCGGAGCTGGGCGTATTATCCGTTGTCGTGGATTTGCTGCCCGGGCATAAATAGTGACCATATTTGGGCATTCGCATTTCCATTTCCTCAAATCCTGCATTCGTCTCCTCGGGCAATGACGTGGGCTCCGGCGTCTTGTCTTCGTCCTCGCGCTCTGGTGTTTCCTCGAAGGGCGGTATCCAAATGCAATAGGCTGGATCCATGCCCAGATAGGAGCCGGGTGCCGCACCCGCATTGATCACATTGTAATCGTAATAGTCCAGCTCCAGCTCCTCTTGGTTACCCAGCGAGAACTCGGAGCCCGGTCGCGCCAATAGCTTCTTGCGATTCTGCTTCTCCTTAGACTCCTTCGGATTGCTGGTCGTCCGTATCGTCGCCGTGCTGACCACGCTCGCTGCGGGCGAGTAGCAGCCCTGCCATTGAAGAGATACGAAGAGATTCGTTAACCCCGTTTTAAACCCATTCAAGTCAAGACTTACATTGGTTAGGGAGGTGCTGACACTGCGTGATCCCATGCGACCCAGGCACAGCGAACCGGAGCCGGAGTTCAGAGAACCGGCGTCGCGCAGACTCTCGTCCAGGCGGGAGCTGAGCAGCTTCAGAGTGACCGCATCATAGCGATCCGAGTACTTGCTCAGCCTGTTGCTGTTCAGAGGTGGACTATTGCACAGGGAGCTCATGCCCGACGAGATGATGGACTCCGAGTCCTTGGCACTGTCCTTACAGCTCACGGGCTCTGCCGGAGAATGCGTGCTAGTCTCCTTTTTCTCCTCATCGAGACGCTGCTCCAGCCTCAGCTCCAGCTCCGGTTCGACCGAAGACGGGGAGCCAACTGCGGGACTGCGACTGTCGGTGAGAGCTGGTGAGAGCGACGTCAACGAGGCGTGCTCATTGCGCAGCGTCATCATGGATGCAGTACTCCCGAATGCCGGCACTTCCTCGCTGCAGGCATAACAATTGATGAGAAACGTACTTGGACATTAGGCAAGACTCACCGCTTGACCATTTGTTCGTCTTCCTTGAACTCCGTCTCATGGTTCACGTTCTCGACATCGGCGCTCTCGCGCAGTATGGAGTGCCGCAGCTGACGTTTGGGTCGCAGCTTCACCAGGTATATCACCTCGGAGAGCAGCGTGGTCGTTGAAATGGCCCGTGATGGCGGTCCGTGCAGCGAGCTCAAGGATGCCCGCGGTGTGTGCAGCTGCGAGCCCTCGTCCTGTCGACGTGCCACTGCCAGGTGATACTTTCGATACCGCACCACGTACTGAGCACCTGTTGAGTCGAATGACACGTGACATTG